GGGGCGGCCGGAGCGGGGCGGCGCGGCGGAACCGGGCCCGGAGGGTGAGCAGCGCGGCGGGAGCGGTTGTGCGTGGATACGCGGGCGTGTGAGGGTGTGTGCACGCGGGTGTGTACGCGTGTGCGGCGCGGCTCCGAGCCGTGCCGCCTTGGGCACGGCCGCGGGGGTCGCGGTGTCCGGGCGGGTCTCCCCCCGTCGGCCCCGAGACCGCCCCGAGCGGAGCCGCCCCTTCCCGGCCGGCCGTTGAGCACCGCGCGGGGCAGCGCTCGGGGACGCCGGAGGCCGCTGCGGCTGCGAGCGGGGGGCCGAGCCGCGCTGTGCCCGCAGCCTGCAGCCCGATCCCAGCCCGCGCCTCTGTGCCGAGCGGTTATTTTTAGCAGCGCTCCGTCCGTGAGTCTCTGTGTTAAGAATTTGTTTTCATCATTATTTATTAAAACATGGTCGCTGCCTTAGGCAACGGGCCGCGGCTGCAGACGGGGATCGCGGCTACGCTTCGCTCGCGGTTAATCCGAAGGGAAAGATCCCGCTTTGCTTTTCTCTTTCTCGTTCGGATTCCGCCTCTCGTGTCACCCCGAGCGCAGCTGTGCCGGTCAGAAATCGGCGCCCCAAACTCCTCCCAGCTGCGGAGAGCTGCGGTGCCGTTGGGGGCGGTTGGGCCGGGCCCGGCGGGGCGTTGCTCGGCTGCACCCAGTGCCATCGCACCGCGGGCTCGGGGCTCCGAACGGCGCCTCCGGTTTGTGTCCGTTGTGTGCAGCTACAGTGCCGTTAACGGATGCTGGTGTAGGCTAATGTGGTGAGAAGTGGTCGTGTTTTGTATAGAAGTTGACTGCTCCTAAAGAAGGGAAATGATGGTGCCAGTCTGCTCTTGGAAGGAGGGAGAAGTTGCTTTTCTAACGTTTTTGCTTATTGAAACTCAGGTGGTGGTTTGGAGCCCAGTGTATTTCTTGCTGTTGGGCCTTTTTGCTGCTTGTGCAGCTTATGTCCTGCTGCACGTTGCACACTCAGCCTTGTCCCAGCCCCGTGCTGCACTGCTGAACCACCGCAGGGCTGTGCCCAGGTGTGTGTCACAGGTGGAACATCCTTCAGCTGGCAAAAAGAAGTATGAAATCTGATCAGAGCTGCCGAAGTCCTCCCAGGTGTGATTAATCCTGCTGCCAGCTGAAACTGAGAGCAGTCTGAAAACAAGGGCAGGCCTTAATAAGTTTAATTACATGTCCGTTGCATGGCTCAGTAAAGGTGTTGCGTTCCGTGCGGCAGTGTGACGCAGTGAGCTGCCCCGGGAGCCCAAAGGCTGCAGCACCTCCTGCGCTCTGTGAAAGATCAGTTTGGCCAAACACAGCAGTGCTGCCCTGGCAGGATGTGTGCAGAGTGCATGCGGGGACCTCAGCCACATGCTCAGGAAAAAGCTGCGTTCGCTGCTCCTCTGGGAGCGTGTGAGTTCCGCTGTGCTGTGCTCTCAGTTATTCCCATAACATCGCTTCAATATTTATTTGTCGAATGGAAGCAACGTGCTCTGTGGGGTGAGGCATTAGGGAAGGAATGGCTGAGAACTGCGGCAGCGGCCGGGAGGTCAGTGGGAGGCAGCTCTGTGTCACATCCGTCCCCAGGAGATGGGACGTGGCCCTGTGCCGGGCAGTCAGCAGCACAGGGCCATTTCTGCAGCAGAGCCCAGTGGGGCTGGGACGTCCCTTGGTCTGCTGGTGCTCCCGCAGTGGAATGGAAGGAGGCTGAAAAAAAGCTCTTAGTTTTTTTTTCCACGTTTGGATTTACGTTTTGTCTGCTCCCAGCTGACTTCTGTGCTCAGTTCCATCTTTCAAATGTATCGGGAGCGTTTCCATCACAAACCACAGAAGTCAGCAGCTGTGTGGTTTCAGGCAGGTGAGGTCCTGAAAAAAAAAAACCGCTGGGGTTGCCCCTCAGAGGGCTTGTCTTCACAAGAGAGCAATTCTGGAAGCAGGCTGTATAAGTTGACCACACAACTCCAGGGTAACTTGGTGTAGACAGGCCCTATGTTTCTTTCCCTGTGCCCTCAGCCGCGTGTATCTGTCTGCTCCTGAGGGAACGTGGAGTCCATTGCGGCCCAGGGCTGATCCTGTCCCCACTGCCACGCTGCAGCCTCGCAGTGTCACAGGGAGGGGGAAGCTGCTGCTCCCAGCTGGTGTGAATGCAGAGCCCTGGCTGGGGTTGGGCTGCTGTCAGCCCCACAACACCTGGCACCCGGCTTCTGGTGGCTCACGAGGGAAGCGGTGGGGTGGGAGTGCATCTTTCTGCCCGGTAATGTTTTATGGCTTTTATTATTTAGAACAGCAATCCTCTCTCATTGCTCTTAGGCAGTAAACCTCTCCCTTTAATAACCAGAGCCTGGCTGTCTCTGTGTAGGGTTCTCAGGTCAGTGCCACTAGCAGTAATGTTATTTCTCTTTAGAACTAATGTGGTGCTTTATGAGATTTTTTTTCCCCTCCATTTCAACTGAGCTTTAGGTACATAGAAAGGGATTACAATAAGGCCCGTGGCAAAAGAACTGCATGTGCTGCTTGGAAGAGGGGATCTTGCTGTGAGTTGTCTTTGGGCAGCTGTCTGTTCCCACTGTATTAAAACAAAGGTGCAAGGACTGGATCTGATCAGCTCATGTAAGCCGGGATGCTGTTTTACTGTTATTTCTGCACTTGTTGCTGCAGGAGGGGCTGTGGGTGCAGCTCTGCGACCACAGGGAGCCACGTCCTGCCTGGCCCTGCGTGAAGCCGAGGGGTCCCAGGGTGGGCAGTGCATCTCCCTGAGCCAGGAACAACCTGCAGCCTGCAGTGGGACGTGTGGGAGCTGGGACAGAGGCAGCAAGCATCTTCCAGGGAGTGGCTCATGCCGCTGATGTCCTGTTCCTCACTAACAGTCATGGGAAATGTTTTCTCCTCTGGGTCAGAGTGTGAAGATGTGAGGACGCAGTGTCCTTCCCTGCATTCGCTTCCTGCTGTGCTCCCCAGGGCCCGGCCGTTGCAGTGACACCAGGCCTGGGGATGCTGGCGCTGCCCCTGGGAGCCTCTGGCAGAGAGACCTCAGCCTTCATCTGGAATCTCAAGCAAGAGCCTCTAATGGCTGGCACCTGCTAGCTTGAGGATACCCAGAGGCGTATGCGGAGTATGGAGGGGTAGAAATAAATGTTTATTGAATATGGTGAGAACATAATGTGTCCCAAGAAGCTCCTGCGTGGTGCTTCTTTGTGCTGCACATCTGCACTCCCAACCGTGGCCTTGCAGCTGCAGTAATTTTGGATGAAAAACACCCTTGGTTTGTTTTAATCTCAACAAAAAAATCTGTGCCAGCATGAAGCAGTCGGGCTCGGTGCGTTACAGCATGCAGTTCCTCAGCTGTAGGTTTGGGTTACCAATATTTTTATATGCCCAGACGAGTGCAGTGCCAGCTCAGTTGCTTAGCTCTTCTAATTTCATCTGTAAATTACAGAATGAAGCCTTCCTGTGGATGCCCAGTGCTGAGCTTATTGGGGCTGAGCTGTCTGTTCTGGGGCTGCTAGGTGTTAGCATGGTGCTCAGCACCCGGGGGGAACCTGATCCATTTGCCCATCCTAGAGCTCATCTACAGTACTGCTCAGAGGAAGCCGATATGGATCCTTTTCTGTGAAAATAGTGTAAAATTGCCACAAAGTACTGGGAATGACTGTGCTCTGTTCTTAAAGATCAATTTATTCACTATAGAGATACAGGGTGAATGGGCCGCTTAGAGAATTGCTGATGGGATGGAGAGGTTTTTGCTTCTGAGCCACTGTTTGTGATTCCGTATGGGTCTGTATTAACCCTGGGCTTCTAACATTTGAGGGCTGTTGGTTGTTCCCTGAGCAGAGATGCCTGTGTGGCCATGCGGGTCTCTGCAGACCCCTCAGCAGGTGCCACCATGCTGGTCCTGGCCATCAGCCCTGCAGGGTCTCCTCCATCCACGCCATCAAGCAGCCTGGGTGGGATGACCCCGCTGCAGGCTGGTCCTTATCACCCTGGGTCTGACCGTGGCCTGAATCTTAATGCCAAATCTTCCAGTGCTGTTTATCTTAGACTTGACTTTGGCTGTTCTTAAGATTGCGCTTGGCATGTGAGTCACTGGAAGCCATGAATTTTGCATGCACTATTGACATTTCTGTGTTTTGGTCAGCTTTGTTCTGGAGACTGACAAAACTCAATACTCACAGGCAAAGCAATCTGATGGAGAATATTAGGAGCACTGTGCTGAGAATATCTCAAGTTGCCTTTATTTCTGTCCTTCCGTGCCTTTGAATAGAGCAGCATGCTCTTTCTGGACAGACAGACCTACACATGGTCTCTTTGGAAGACTCAGAGTACTTGCCAGAGGTTTGAAAGGTCAGAGTTTGCTGAGATCAGAGCTTTTGTGAGCTGCCATACATGGGAACATTTTATGTGGTGCAGACTACAGAGAAAGCAACTGCTCCCTCTGCTCTCTTTATTTTTCCCTTGCCACTTTGTGGCTGTCTTGTGTTTTCCCTGGGAGTATCTAGCTATCTTTCTTTTTGTTTTTTTCCCCCCCTCGAGCACTCTGATTTTGCTATAAGAGTTACAGTACCATTGATTGTATTGGCTGCCTCTGAAAATGGTGTGCTGCTTGCTGTCTGTGGGCTCCCTGCTGCTAAATGCTGCCAGTGGGACTCCGGAGCATTTAGATCAATCGATAGGGCTATCATGGCTTTATTTTCCACACTCTCCCATCCTGGGGTCGTGTGTGACAGTAGGATGGAGCACACGAGTCCTCAGATTGTTGGTTACAGAGTGAGAATCTGCACACTGACTGCATCTGTGGTACAGCTGTATGCGTGCCTGGAGGGGGGGAAGGGTGCCTGTGCACAGGGGGATGCTATTCTGGGCCATCTCTTATCTCACAGCAAAAAATTCATAGGAATATTCTGCAGTTGTTGTTAACAGATAGGCTTCACCATTTCTCTGGGCAGGAAAGCATCCACTGATAGGGTTGCATTTTTCCTCCAGATCCCATCTAATGCCGAGGCTGAAAGAATCGCGCTCCCACGAGTCTCTGCTCAGTCCCAGTAGTGCTGTTGAGGCTTTGGATCTCAGCATGGAGGAAGAAGTGGTCATCAAGCCTGTCCACAGCAGCATCCTGGGACAAGACTACTGCTTTGAGGTAAGGAGCACATCATCTGTGTGCCGTGTAACAAAGCTGGCTGGGGAGCCGGGCGTTGGATCGTGCCGTTGGCTTTTGCTGTTACAGAGCATTTCTGCTCTGAATCGTTACGCAGAGACGATTCCATGGGCAGAAAATTACTTCATCTTTCCAAGGGGGAGCATATCCACAAATCAGAGCAGGTCTTTGCAGTGTAACCATTGTCGCAGCAGGGTATGCTCATGACACGGGTGCTGGACTGCTTAGCATTGTGTATTAGCAGAGCATAAACGTGTAGTTCATGTTCATGCAGATATCAGAAGGTGTTCTTCTCTATTCCAAGCTTACAAAACGTTATTTGTGGTCACAAAGACTGCTTTTGTCAGTGGAAGTGTTGAGGACTTTGTCCAGAAAACTCAAACTTCTCTTGTTTGTGTAAATAAAAACTGTATTTTAGGGTATTTTTTACATGGCTTATGCGTTTTGTTACGGCTCATGGCTAGGTCTGCGCTAGCAGGAGGCAATGAAACACGTACAAACAAGCCTGTTGTTAGGTAACACAGTGCCATACCTTTTGGGAATGGTTTGTCATGCATCATGGGTGGAAAAGTATTATTGCTTATGGCAGTGCCTGAACACAGAATTAGGAAATGGTTTTTTTGCAGTATTAAGATGGTCAGTGTGTTGAAGAGAAGGTAACCTGGTTGTACTTGAACATCAAGGAGTAGATGAAACAGGGCAGTGCTGTGCTGTAGGGGCTGGTGGGGATGCTGACACTCCTAGAATGGGCAGAGATGCACAAAGGCAGGCATGCCAGCATCCAGGAGTCAGACAGGACAGGGGAAGCTTCCTCTGGAACTAGCACAGTTTGAAATAAATGAATTCAGATATCATCTTAAAATGTAAGCAGGTAATGCTGAAACAGTCTTAAAAATAAATAAATTAAAAAATAGCCCCAAACATGAACTCTGAATTGAGGGGGTGGGTTGAGATATAAATTCTCTGGTGCTGTTCATTCTCTGTAGAATTGAGCAAGTGTGGCAGGTCAGGAGAAAACAGTTTTGTAAATTATATGGCCTCCATTATATTCCACTCAAGAAAGATAAAATGAAGCTAGATGGAAAATAGATGTGACATCCATAATATAAGAGTTGTTTACCAATTCTGTTCAGCACACAAGAGCAGAGGAAGGGATATGAACAGTACTTGAAGAAAGTTGACTGAGAGGGAAATGACACAAGTCATGCACTTGTAAGGAGGAAGAAAATTCCTTTTTTAAGCGAGTTGGACAAAGGAGAGTCATACAGAAAAGAGAACACGTTAATTGCTGTTCTGCAGATCCTGCAGAGGAAGGGAAGAATGCTGGGAAACAAAAGGGACGTTGATTTGTACCTGATGGTTACTCATCAGCAGGCTCCAGAGGGAAGGCTTGGGTGAGAGCGAAATGGCATGTTGTGTTAATGCCTTGGTCGTGCATCTCCAGAGAGGCTCCTTCAAACATTGCGCAGGTTGGATGTGAAATGAGTTTGCAGATCTTTCTGGGTCCACACTGGGTGGTGGGCAGGCACAGTGGTGTCGGGCCGAGCACCGTGTGCTGCATTACGTGGTTCTCTGGGCCAGGAGTAGTGGAACTGCACGAGTGTTTTCCCCTCCTCAGTGCCTGAAGGTTGCCTTGGGTTGTTTCGCTTTAAGGTCTGTGAAACTTGCTTTTTTACTGACTTGCTGAGTGCTTGGAAGTCAGTATTTTCTTGTTTTCCCCATTGACTGCTTTTTAAATTGATTCAACATCATCATCTTTCTCCTTATAAGACCTTCCAGTCAGCAAAACCATCCGGTGCCCCCGCGGAGGCCGCGTGTGCTAAATATACAGCGGGCAGCTCAGCCTGCTGAGGGACTCTGCCAGTCCAGTCTCCCAGGGCCTATTCCTGGCTCTGCTGTTTGGGATCCTGGTGACCTGGAGCAGGAGCAGCAGTCAGGATGGAAGGGTTCTGTTCCTGTGTTAGCAAACCAAAGTCCTGTGTCTGTGGGGAGAAAGACAAGACTGCTGCAGGGCTTTAAAACCGAGCAACTTCATCCTGGCCTTTCCTTGAGCAGAGGGGATGTAGGGGGGAGGTTTAGCACTGCTGGGGAAGCGGTCACCATTGCTCGCGTGGCCTTCCAGCCCCTGCCCGGCCCTGGTGGCTCTGCTGGCCTGGTGTGTCCTCCTGCAGGTGGCTGTGCTGCTTACTGCCAGTGTGAGCCTTACCCTGGAAAGTCATCTGAACGCTTCGGGTGAAACAGCTGTTGTGTGAAATGGAACTTGGTTGTCGTCCTCTGGTGTTGCACCACCGAGGCCCCTTGTAGTGCACTTTGAGTATCCTCGAAGCATACAGTCCTGGAGATGTTTTAAAAATGGCAGGATTTTATCTGACTTTAGGGGTCACCTACTCGTGAGTTTTATTAACAGATTCTCTCCTTACCTTTGTAGTATTCTAGCATATTCGCAATCTTGTTGAGATGAGAATACTCTCTTTATGAAGATAATCAATGTCTCATGAAGATCACTAATCCATATGATGCTCGGGTCAGAGCTCAGAACCAAAAATGTTTTTTCCCACTCTGGGGTCCAGAAGGTGCTCTTCTGAAAGCAAGGAATGGTGACTGCTGTTGGGAGTTTCAGGCTGAGTCTGGAGGAATGGCGAGTGGTTGCAGTTTGTCTTCAGTTCATTTAAGGATTTTCACTCTCTCGGTTGTGAAACGTGGTGGTTTAAAGCATCACATGCACAGGGCCCATTATCTTGTGTTTTCTGGTGTGGAAGAGGAGAAGTAATTGGAATTTGCTTCTGTGATTATTTCTGTGACATACAGAGTTGCCCTGTCTTTCTGCTGGCCTTAGGGGGCTGTTGCTTCATGCTTGGGTAAAGCTGTTTACTTAAATTTAAAAAATAAATAAATAAAAACAAATCCCTCTCACCTTTCCTAACCCCCCCCTCTCCCCCAAATCACAGTCTGCAGTGTGCTGGTCAAGACATAATCCTGTTCCTTTCCCTGTAGGTGACGACTTCATCAGGAAGTAAGTGCTTCTCGTGTCGTTCTGCAGCAGAGCGAGATAAATGGATGGAAAACCTGCGGCGTGCCGTGCACCCAAATAAGGTAGTGGCTCTGAGGAATTGCCTCTGTTATAGTTCAGTTCCTCGTTATTGCATTTTATAGCCCAGTGCATAGTAGCAGCAGGGGAGGTATTGTCATTTCAGTGAGTAAGTGTAATTGTGGGTCAGCCTTTTCCCATATTGCTTTCTTCCACAATTATATTTACAGGAAAGTGCCAATTATTTCTTCCTTCTTTTCTCAGCACGTGCAGCTTCAGCTTTTGCTGAGACATGATCAGCTCTCGAGAGTCTTCAGTCTTGCTCTGTTACTAATGGTACTTTCCACTTAAGTAGGACTTCCCTCAAAGTGCTGGGGCAGATGGCCAGTAGCTGCCAGCAGAACCAGGGAATAGTATGAAGAGTTCATACGTCACGTTTTCTGACTCTGGCAATTCTTGTGTTGTCAACTTCAGTGATGGAGATATTCAGGTGGCACATCACAGTGAGCTCTTTGAGGCAATAGTGGAACATAGCTTTCACTTTTACAGGCAGTTGTGTGTTTTTATGACCCACTAAGACTAAATACGTCCTAAAATAAATTCTACAGCTGCATCTCCCTCTCTCTGCGCTGGAGTTAGCTAACAAAGATTGATCAAGGCTCATCAGCTGCAGGATTTCACAGCTGATGAGCTCCATCAACAAGTCATTTTCTGCTGATCAGAGAAGACACAAATGATGGGATCCTGTAAATTTGTTCCTTGCATCAGAGGCACATAACTGCGTTACAGGTTAGCTCTGGGCCTGGCAGGCTGCTAGCAGAGCCACAGCCCTCCATGTCTGAGCTTATTGTTCCTCATTCAGCAGAAGAGATTTCCTTCATCAGAATGGGAGCAGCAGAGGGAAAGGTGGGCTTCTGCCCCTCGCAGTGTGTCCTGCACAAGGAGTTCAGTGCTCCGGTGCCTTTCTGAGCACAGCGGCCTGGCAGTGATGGCCTGAAGGAGCTGTGAGGTTTGGAAGGTCACACTGTGAGAAAAGCCTGAGGAATGTGAGGGAGGGTGAGGCACTCAGTGTGTCTTTGAGATGCAGTGTTCAGTGGAAACTCATTTGGAAGGGTGCCCTCATCTTGAAACATGCCGCTAGCTGATGGCTAACTTTCCATCTTTGTTTGAGTTTGTAGACAATAAACTCTCAGTGTCAGAGTTGATATTTCTGTCAGGAATCCAGTGCTTTTGTATAGTTGCTGTGTGTACTTCCTGAACCTACAGTACAGTACAGTACCCCATTGAGGGCTCGCAGCAGAGATGTTCCTGCCCAGACTGCAAACCCAAGCAGAATAAGCCTTGGTTGCAATTTCACGAGGGGTGTCCAACCCAGGTTTCTGCAGAGCCCATAAGTCAGTGCTGCAAATGCCCCTTGGTGTTCTTCCAGCATGAGGTCAGCACTGCCAAGAGCTGTGTAAGATCTACAGTATCCTTTGTTACATGCTATCTAAGTGATTCCAGGCCAAATTTCTGTTTCTGAATTGTAATGATTCTGCTGCATATGACTCACTCTGTCCCGTAATTCCTCTCCATCTCTTAGCTGGATGCTCTGGACTTCTGCCTTAAAATATTGAGGTTTTGCAAGTGCTTCTTCCATGTCAGAGGTAGCTGTGTTCCAGCCATGGATGGGACGATCCCTAGGTGTGCATTGGGGTCCCTTTGTTGTTGCTCTGTTACACTCAAAAATAAATAAAAATGTATTGCAGTGCTGCTGCAAAGTGGTTGTACGGATCAGGAAGGTAATAGTGTGATACCTGTGACATTGGTGTTGCTTTGCAAAGGCCATTAGTCATTGGTTGGGTTCGTTCAGGTTTCTTTTGAGGTCCTTTTGGTGGTGAATTGGATTTGGCCCATTTGTGATGCGGAGGGGTTTTATCTTCCTTGTTGCTTATATTAATTGGCACCAGCAGATGTGGAGAGCACGGTGATATTTGGAAAATTAACATAAGTAGCATTATTATGCAAATTCCTGAGAGCCAGTATTTCCTTAAAATAAAATGTAATTAAGCCTCTGCTCATTTAGCACATCTGAAATAATTAACACCTATCTCCAGTTTTGTTATGCATGGCTTTGTTTTTCTTCTTGACCTTTTTTTGTTGCATCTTTTTTTCTAGGACAACAGCAGAAGAGTGGAGAATATGTTAAAGTTATGGATTATCGAAGCCAAGGACCTGCCAGCTAAGAAAAAGTACTTGTGTGAATTATGCCTGGATGATGTTCTTTATGCACGAACTACCTGTAAATTGAAAACTGATAATGTCTTCTGGGGGGAGCACTTTGAATTTAATAACCTCCCATCGCTCAAAAACATTACGGTGCACTTATACAAAGAGACTGACAAGAAGAAGAAGAAGGACAAGACCAATTTCATCGGACAGGTGAACATCCCTGTCAGCTCTGTCACGGGACGGCAGTTTGTGGAGAAGTGGTACCCTGTGGTCAGCCCCAACCCTGGGAAGGGCAAATCCCCAGGGCCCATGATCCGCATTAAGTCGCGCTACCAGAGCATGAGCATTCTTCCCATGGAGATGTACAAGGAATTCGCCGAGTACATCACTAACAACTACATGGTGCTGTGCTCAGTGCTGGAGCCTTCGCTGAGTGTGAAGAACAAAGAGGAGATGGCGTCTGCGCTGGTGCACATCCTGCAGAGCACAGGCAAGGCCAAGGTAAGAGCCTGTGGCACCCGTTGGCTGCCGGGGGAGAGGACAGGAGCAGTCACTTGGGTTGGGTTGTTGGAAGTCACCGCCTCAGCTGGTCTCAGCCATCACTAATACAGTGTGATTTTGCTTTTTCTTGCAAGTAAGTTGGTAGTAGCGTGTGCACTGCTAATTGCTTAATTAGTAAGGAGATCAGTAGGACCCCAAGATACCAACTTAAGTCATTTTTCTCTGCTTCCGGAGGCTTAGGGACCAGACTCTTATTCTGTGAACAGGCACAAATGTAACAGAAAGGAAGAAGGCGCTTCTCAGGAATGAAGTGTGAGCAGTGTTGGCTTAAGCTATGCTGCCAGCATGTGCTGGGTGTTCTGTGGGATCCCAGAAGGTTTCCCTGCTGTACAGCACTGCAGCACCAAATGTGAGTGCGTACAAGGGGGTGCGATGAGAATTCAAAGTAAAGTGCACCTCCAGGCACTCAAGTCTCAAGTCCTTGGGGCCTGTCCTGTTGCTTTCAGAAGAGATGTGATGAGGCAGCAGTGCGGGAGGGCCTGGGGCACTCCTGGGGCAGGATTCACTGGGGAGTTGATGCTGGCCAGCTTGTGAGTGGTAGAAATGCAGTGTGTGACCGTCCTTTGTGGCTGGGAATCCTGGGTCTGGGGAAGAAGCAAGTGAGGAAGAAGAGGGAGCAGGATTTACTGCTAGTAGAGGTCCTGGGAGCGAAGGCAGAGGAGCAGAGCTGGAAACCCCCTTACTCTGGAGAGCAGTGCTGAGCCCTGAGTTCTGCAGAGCATGGAGTTGTTGTGGTGTGTCCTTGCTGCGTGTCCACAAGCCAGCACAGCCAAGTCAGAGCATCAACAGTTTTCTTTGTTAGTGTCTCCCTGAGCTCTGCAGCAGGTCTCCAGGAAGAGCAACATTTCCAGAGCTTTAGCAGAGCGGAGGAAATGCAAGCTGCTCACCTGAGGGGAACTGTGAGGCTCAGTCTTCCTCTGCAGCCTCTGCTGTTGCCTGGGATCATGACAGGGTTCATGGATTAGATTTAATTACCATCTGTTGTACAGAGAAGTGGCTTGGCCTCCTAGATAAGTTTAAGGCTGGAGAAGCTCTCTGAGAGGATTGTGAGGTCCTGCTGCTGCAGAGGGAATGAAAATAGCAGCCCTAAGCCTCCCTGACCCTTGGATGGGGCTGCAGGGCACGCAGTGAGGGATGCAGCCCCACTCCATGGAGACAGGAGCAGCTCGGGGCATGTGTGATCCTGTTCTTGTAATGCCAGGAGAGCACCCCAGGTGTCCCCTCCTTTGGGAGGGCTTTGCTATGCTTTGTGGGCCTGGCCCTGCCTTCTGCTCATACCGCTAGCCAAGCTGCCCTTCACTGCAGCTCTGGTGGCACTGATGCTATAGCTCTGGCTGAGATAAAATCACCCAGAAGAACTCTGAGCGTGGCTGGCACAATTCTGGTGCAAAAGGCATCGAGTGTCACCCCGATGTCGGGCACTGTGAGCCGTGTGCATGCGTATCTGAGAGCTGTTGTCACTGCTGCTGCTTTTTCCTTCTCTCTCCAGTGCTGGAGAGGCTCAGGAGAGAGCAGGGATGTTTCAGGCTCGTGTCTGTCCTAGTGCTCGAGATCCCAGAGGCTCTGCACGGGGGATGCTGCAAACAGTAAACAGACGTGATGTATTGCCCCCTAAAATGGAGCTGCTGCTTTCTCTGCCTGTCATCTGCCATCAGCATTAGCACAGGGTTGAGAGAGCTGTCAAAGCAACAGGAGTTACTGGAGCATGGGAACCGGGTGATGGCTCCTTCGTGGAGGAGTTGGACAAGCAGAGAAGAGGAAAAGCTGGCGACAAGGGGAGAAAAAAAGTAGATGAATGGGAGAGGAGAGCACCCACCCACCCTGTGTGTGTGACATGGCCACATGCCCAGCGTGGAGCCCCATCCAGAGCAGATGGGCTGTGCTGGTATCGTGGTGCTCCTGTCCCTGAGCAGACTTCAGCCCCGCCTGGGTTTCCGCTGTGCCTGTGTTGGGCTCTGTGGGGCCGTGGGGAAGAGAGCTCTCTGAGCTGAAGAGCACAGATGTGGTGATGGGCAGTTGCTAATTCATTTCACTGATAAAGGGCTTTCTGTGGTTTTTGGCTGTTGTAGGTGACACTAACGCAGCAATTACAGCTGGAGTGAGAAACAAGTGTCTGGCAGGTTATCTGTGGAGATGTGTTAGCAGCTGGTTGCCTTCACGGTGTTCAGGTGCTGTTTTCCCTGTAGCTGTGCACTGTAGGTGCAGTGCAGTCCCTTGCTGAGGCACAGTGGTCCCCCAGGCTGGCAGAGCAGCCATGCATGGCAGTGCCTGCTGCCCCAGCAGCCCTGCAGACAGAGCAGCCCTGCACAGCCCCCGGCTCCTGTCAGTGCCTGCTGTGCTGCAGCCAGGAGCCTTTACTGGGGCTGGTCAGAGCTGTAGGCAGGCATGGTGTTGGCAGCAGGTGGGCAAGGGCTGCAACTGCATCTTCTCCCTTAAATAACTGCATCAGCCTGAGCTTCCTTTCTTTATCACAGTAGATTAAAAGATGGGAAATGAAAGCAGAGTCCTCCCTGGAGTCAGAGGCCGTGCTTCCTTTGATCTCTGCTTGGGAAAGGGAGAAGCTTCACCCCCACAGAGCTGCATGAGGGCTTGGAGTGCATCAGGGTATGGCTGGAAAGCCCAGAGCAGCTGCCAAGGTGGGGAGAAGGGAAGAGCGTTCTGATACAGGTGGCAGTGCAGCAGGCTGGCTGAGGGCTGCCCGGCCCAGAGGAGGCACTGCCCTGCATCCTCCACGTGTTGGGTACTGCCATCCTCCCGTCATCACAGGCACCAGTGTTACCTATAAGGGTGTGGTGAGATGCCTGACTATTTTGATGTGTTTTTCAGCCCACAGACAAAACACACAAAGTGGTAATTAAAAGTGCTGGGTGTGCTGAGCCCTGCCATTAGCCCAGGCTGATGTGGGCTGTGTGATGTGGTTACAGAGAGGCAGGCTGCATCCTTCCCAGAGGGAGAAGGGCTGGGGCTCTCAGCACCTGCAGAATGCTTCCCTCGCTTAGGTCTGTTTCAGGGCTCTCTCGCAGCTTTTGCAGCTCAGTTAATAATCATAAATATATATAAAAAAAACTTCCTTGTCCAAATGGTTGGTAGATGAAATCCAGCATCAGACAAAGCTCTAACTAACCAGCTGCTCACTTGAAATAAATATTTATTATGGTGTGAATAGAGTGAAGAATAAACATGTGTCCCTATTTGTTTATGCCGCAAGGATTTGCTTTCCATAAGCAGATGCATTCGCTCCTCCACGTGAGGCTGCTGCAGTCTCCCTGCCTCCTGCCCAGCCTGCGTGTGGGGCTGCCTGATGGGGAGCAGTGCTTGTGTGTCCCAGCCTGGGGAGCCAGGCTGCTGCACACCTGCAGCCATAGGTGATGCTGGCATAATTCCCTTGCAAGGAGTCTCCCCCATAATGCTTTAGACAGCAGCCATAATCAAGCTAATAAAGCTTTTATTCAGTGTTATGCGCACGCCCGCTCCCCTTTGCCTCCCCACAGGCACAGCAGGCAGGCAGGTCAGGAGGCTGGAAGGGGAGTGCTGTGTGGGAGCAGGAGTGTGCTGTGCAGCAGGGCTGTGCTGCTGCCAGCTCAGGGAGGTGGTGCTTGCTCTGCTCTCACGCTGATGGCGTGTCCTGCAGTTGGGTTTCCTTATTGCCGTGAGAACATCGTTGCCATAGCTGCCTGTGTGTTAACCCTTGTGGTGCCGTTTCCCCTCCATTTCCCAAGGAAAATGAGTAACAGCAGAAGTGCTGGAGCACGAGCTCCTGTGCTGAGCAGAAGGAGCACCACGGGTGTTTTCCATAACAGCTCCTTGCAGACCGCGTGTCAGCGAAGGGTTGAGGCCGGGCTGTGATGTGCAGCTCCACGCCTCCTGCCTGACCTCCTCCCAGGGCTTCCTTCTTCACTGCTGCATAAAAGCCCTGCTGGACTCTGGGCTGCTTTCTGAAATGAGTACTAATCTCATTACCTCTATCAATTCAATCCTCTTAAGGTAAAGGCAATCCTATTAATGAGCCTTGCTATGTGGAGAACCCCCAGACCTCGCCACCAATCCACCGGTTGGGCACTGAGTAACAGAGCAGCTCGCTCAGCAGCAACAGCCCCTCTCTGCTCTCCTGTGCCTGTCCTTGCAGGACTGGTGCTGCAGGACCTTTCCTGGCACCCTGAGCTCCTCTGCAGGTTCCTGATGCTGCCCCTCTGGTGCTGTCGGACCCAGACAGGTGTTGGGTTGCAGGCAGGGCCTGGACTGGGTGGTGACAAAGCTAGCTGCCTTCTGCAGCTCTGTCTTGTGAAGGAGCTGCTTCTCCTGGCTTTTGTGTGCTTGAGTGATGCAATTAGCCCAATTGCTTGGCCCTATTGGCACCACAGTGTAGGATTGTTTTTTGAGCAGGTGTCAATTTCACACTCAGTGGATTTCACTTTGCAAGGAGCCTTTCCCCTTCAAGGCCCTCTCCGGAGCAGCCCCTGTTCCCAGCTGCTGTTTCCCTGCCCCAGGCTCACCTTCAGCTGTGTCTGGGCAGTGCGGGGCTGCTGGGGCCGTGCAGGAGCAGCCTTGCAGCAGCTCGTGCTGCAGTAGCTCCTACTTGGAGGAGTGCTGGAAACTGGTGCTGTCTTGCGCTGTCATGCTCTTAATTTGTTTATTTATGAGTTGTTCCTCCTTATCAGCATATGTGTGGTGACTGAGGTTGCACAGGTTCAGCAATGTCCAGTTGGGACAAATATCCCTACAATAATCGCAGGAGCGAGCCTGAAGAGCACTGCCACAGCCCTTAATTTTTACTGTAGGCCTTTCCCTTCCCCTCTAAACTCTGATGTAATGAAATAAAGCATCTAATTTTCTTCCGTTGCCAGGGGCCCTAACTAAAAACAACCCCCCACTGATCTCTGCTGCTCACAAACAGGGAGTTTATTGGCTTTAGTTATTGCATTTTATTTGGAGACTTGTATGTGGGTGAGTGAAGCCCCCAGAAGGATCCAACAAGTATTTGCATTCCATTTGTGTCTTCCGAGTGTTGGCTGCTGGCGTTCTTGAGGCAGAGATGGCAGATGTGATCTGGAGCTGATGCGGCTCCTTGGTGCGGAGGGCTGAGCCACAATCAGTGCTCCTTCCTGGAGTGCCTGGCTCTGCAGCACGGCTCAGGGCTGGCTGGCTTGGCTCCGTGTCACCAGGGAGCTGCCGGGCTGCTGAGAAGCCCTGCCTTGTGGCACGGCCTGTCTGCTGATGGTGGCAGGGCTGTCCCAGCACACCGCGTTCCAGCCGTGGCTGCTGTGCTGTAATGGAGCTCCTTGGGCTGCCGGCAGTTTTCCTGGCTGCTCCCAGGCAGCAGGGCTGTTCTCTCACCTGCTGAGCTGCTGCTGGTGCTCCGTATTGGACAGTGACTGCCACAGACGTTTTGAAGGGATATTTCCTGGCTTTGTCTCGAGTCACGTATGACTCATTTTTAATTCTAGTGAATTCTGCCTGTTAGCTGAAATCATCAAAATTCGCATGCTGCTGGCTAGAATCTGCTGCCCGGGTCTCTGCAGCTCTGGCAGGCAGCTGGGTTCTGTGTGGGAGCTGGCACTGCGTCCCCACGTCCTGCCACAGCTCTGCAGCCCTGCGCTCAGGGGAAGGCAGCACGGGTCCTCAGCTGACTGGAGGAGGAGAAAGCAAATCTGGTCGAGGAGGAGCAGTAAAACTCAGTGCTCCTGAGATAATTAGTATGTTGGGAAAGTGACAGGAAAGAGAATCAAGCAAAGCCAAGGTCAGCGGCTGCTAATTAAGAATCAGCACCTTGTGTCAGCTGGAGCTGTGGCTTGGAATTGAAACGCATCCTGGGAGAGAACCAGGGAGATAAAGGTGATGGAGGTACCCAGATAGCGGCTAGAGGGATTTGAGCAGGAGTTTAAAGTTTCATTTGAGCTTGGCTGATAAAAGGGGCAAAATGGCAGAAAATCGTGGAGGGATTCGTGCCTCTGCCTGCAGCCTGGGTTTGGCTTCACCTGGGGCAGCAGCGCAGTAATGAAGAGCTATGTAGGTGCTGTGGTTTGGCCTTGGAATGGACCAGCAGTGCGTCCCAGCGTGATTCCAGGTCACACCTGGGGTTCAGCAGAGGTTGGAAGGTGAGCAAAACATGCTGCCATGTGTTGGGGTGGAGCTGCTTTCTGAACCTGGTTAGACTTGCAGTGTGCAGGAGCTGCAGCTCTACACAGCACCTCCAGGAGTGCCTGCTGCCTGTGCCCAGAAATGAGCTGTGTACATCTTGTGTGCTCCTGCTGCGTGAAGGAGAATTTCTCATTGAAAGGTTATTCCTGAGCAAGTTGTTTAGTGTTAGAGTAACATGGTTTGGAAAAGGTGCTCTTGGCTGCAGAAGTGAAGCTGTAGGTCAGCATTCCTGCCTCCTGCACTGGGACTTGGGTTTCACGCAGGATGAGGGGTGCTGGCAGCCCGGCCTGCTGTGCATCCAGGTGAGCAGCATAGGTGGGAGGATTTTCTCATGAGCAGTGTAGAGAATGGGAGCTGAATGTGTGTTAGCATTAAAACCTGCGTGGCATTTCTCCTGCATTAGTGCTAGCTGCAGCACACTAAACATTACACCACACAGTGGATTTTCAAGAGAATGCACTGGGAGTTACGTGACACTCTGATCACTGATGCTGTTGCTGAGGGAGACGTAGAGCTCAGTCTCAGATGCTGGCTTTCTATTGGTGTTTGCAATTCAGGAGCTCAGAGCCGTGCACAGGGCAGCTGTCAGTGTGCACACTGCTTTGCTCACCCCTTCCATTGCTGTGCAGCACAGAGGATTATGAAATTGTGTGGTATTTGGTTCTGTGCAAGTCAGCCCAGCAAAGCGCCCGCAATGCGTGCTGTAACAGTGCTGTTTATTTTCATGGGTACTGGGAAATAGGACGTTGGGTAACCCTGGTGCATATTGCAGGCCTGATTCTCGGCCATTAACTGTGGGGCACAGCTCACGACACCCAGGTTATGCCCCCAATTTGCAGCCACTGCAGTTTGGTATGAACACAGCCGTGTTGAGCAGTGGGAAAAGTACTTCATCCACAAAACACGAGGCCAAGATGGGACCCATCAGAAAGCTGAAACTGATGGAGGGGTAAATGTGGTGCAGGCTTGGAGTGGATCGCTTTGGGGGTGCAGATGCTGTCACTGTGCAGAGACTGATTTCTGCTCTTGTCTCTGTGGGGAGCAGGAGCAGCACTGTGTGCACGGGGGCACTGCGGTGCTCCACTCCCCGTGTGCTGGGAGAGCTGCATGGGGTGTGTTGTACCTGGTGACCCACCATGGGCTTTGCTTTCCAGGATTTCTTGACTGACCTGATGATGTCTGAAGTTGATCGCTGTGGTGAGAATGAGCATCTCATTTTCAGGGAGAACACACTGGCCACCAAAGCAATCGAGGAATACCTGAAGTTGGTGGGACAGAAATACTTGCAAGATGCCTTAGGTACGTACCAAGGGTCAGCTGCTCTGCACAGTGCTGAGTGCAGGCCGAGCCCTGACGGCCCTCGAGGTGGTGGTGTTCCCCCAGCAGGTGACCTCCAGTGGTTCTGGAGAAGCCTGAAGGCCACATGCTGCCTGCCCGAGGTGCAGCCCACAGCAGGGCAGCACAGCCCCAAGTGAAGGTGAGCGCTCAGCTGGCGCTTCGTCTGCTTGCACAGGAAACAGTGAAATGGTATTTGCAGGCACGGCCTGCCAAGCCTTCTGTGTCAGCAGTGGCAGTGTCACGGAGGCTGACTGAATCCTTCCCTGATTGCACACCCCCAGCCGGAGATGCTCCCCCCGGTTATTCGCAGCGCTTGTGAGTCAGATGAAATCTCCCAAATTACAGTGATGAGAGCTGCCTCCCTCACAGCACCGGGAACCCTCCTGGTGGTTTTTGAAAGGGCTGCCTATGCTCGTGGCTCCAAAGATATTTCTCCTGATGCAAATGAAAATAATTAGAGGTTCCGCTGTTGGGCTGGTCAGGAAGGAAGAGCAGCGCTGCTGCGTGCAGGCGGCACAGCGTGGGCTGGGGGCTGCTCTGTGCGAGCAAAGGCAGTGGGGTTTGGGCACATCCTTGCAGAGGGGCGAGCAACATTTCTGCAGAGCTGAGTCTTTCAGCATGTTAGCTTCCTGCTAGTGAATTTGTGTAATTCTAGCAAGAACCACAAAAACATAAATACTTCATGAAGATAATAATGTACTGATGAAGTTGAGGAAGGGGAGCAAATGCCGTCAGAACAGCAGGTACCCACCAGAAGAGGAGAAGGAACGTTTGTTATTCCTGTCTTGTAATCCATTCTGGTTGAGGTCTGTAAGTAGTTTACCTCAAAAAATTTCTAAAAAACCAGGTGATTAATTAAGGCAGCAACTTTTGTAATGGTCCCCTGTCAAGACTGATGCTGCTGCTTGATGCAGGAGCAGCCTGCAGTTCCTGCATGGTGTTCAGGCATGGGTTCTGCATGGACCTTTTATCAGGGAAATGATTAATCTGTATGTCAGAGGGAGCTCAGTGCAGTGTGGTGCTTTCCTTCAAACCACGAGGCACAAGCTGGTAATAGGGCCGGATCATAACAGCAGGCATTGCTGGCAGGCAGGCAGAGAAGCTCTGCAGCTCCCAGCAGAGCTGAAAATACACCAGATGGGCCCTCTGGTACTTAATATCTGTTTGAGCTGAGGAAAGGGAAGAGTGCAGATGAGAGGGAGCAGAAAGCACAAAGGTGGGAAAATCCCAGACAGGTCAAGAATTGGGAGATGACCAACAGGAGTGAGAGGGGAACCAAAGCACCGAGCACAGCCAGTCCTGTAGTGCCACATGAAGCCTTGGATCCCCTGGCTGCAGGGCCTGGCACTGCCTCTGGGTCCTGCTGCAGCCCCACTGTGCCACCCCCCTGCCATGGGACCAGGGACACTCAGCTGGACCTGCAGCACCAGGACTGCCCACAGCCTGGTTTGGTTTAAGCCTGGGGCACCTCTGGTTAGGAGCAGGCAGGCAGGAATGCAAGGAAGCTCACAGAAATGCTGTAATTCGATTTGGTGTGATGTTCAGCTCAAAATAAACCAAGTAAATTGTTTCTTTCCTTTAATTATCCATTTCTTCTGTGAATCACACTGGCTTGTCAGCACCAGGGGACTGTAGCAGGCGCAGCCCACGGCAGCAGGACATCATACAGATGATGACAGAACCTGCCACATGCTTCCTGGAGATAGCCTTGGGGAGTGTGGCTGCAATGGGGCGGCTGGGGGTTCGGGGCAGGCAGGGGAAAGAGATCTTCTGGCAGAGCAGCTCCAGGGCAGCAGCTGCCAGATGGGGGCAGGGAATGGCCCTGCTCTCCAGGGTCCAGCCTGCATGACAGCATTGGGGCTTGCTTGAAGGCTGCATCTCCAAAACCCATCACTGTCTATTTTACAGGGGAATTTATCAAGGCTCTTTATGAATCAGACGAAAACTGCGAGGTGGATCCCAGTAAGTGTTCATCCTCAGACCTCCCTGAACATCAGAGCAACCTGAAGATGTGCTGCGAGCTGGCCTTCTGCAAAATCATCAACTCCTACTGGTCAGTACCCTGCGGGCATCACTCCCCTCCACGAACTGCCATAGAGGAGCAGTATGGTGTCGGGCTCAGGCCATGTCTGCCTGGCACGGCCTTGCCAACCCAAAGGGTAGCTGGGGGGCTTCTGTGTGAGACTGCCAGGGGGACTGGGCTGAGCAGGGGTGGCACAGGCAGTGGTAGGTGCACCTGCAAAGATGTGCAGTGCCTTGTTGAGCTCCTGTGTGCCTGGCATGGGAATGGGAGGACTGCTGTGCACAGAAGAAGACTCTTTCAAGGACAGATTTTCTGCTGAGCTTGTTTAGTTTGGGGATGCAGTTCCACACTGCCTTCAGGGCCGAGTGCCCATCGCATTTCAGCAGGTGGTGAAGGGTCACTGCAGCACAGACGCAGGGCAGGGTGGTAGAGCCAAAGAGTAAGAGCTGCCTTTGCCAGTGTGACCAGTTCAGAGAGGGACTTGATACCAACCATGTATAAAAGCCTGGAATAAATATCAGGAATGCTTGTCCTGAATCTCCCACCCATGTCACAAACCTGTATGTGTCAGGTGGGTCAGTATGGACTGCCTGATTCCCCAGAGCAACCACTGACATTTTGAACCCTCCTGCAGCAGGCAGGGTCTGTGGCACTCCTGGTGCAGCAGGGAATCTGCAGCAGCACAGGGAGCTTTTGTAGAGGCAGAAGACTCCTGTTGCAGAGTTCTGGAGCAAGGACACTGCTGTTAGTGCTCTGTTGCTGTTTGGCTTAGCATCCTGCATTCCTCAGGGTTAACCCGTCCATGTCCTGGCCCTCAGGGACAGCTGGCCTGAGTATGCAAACCTGACTGGAGTGAGGCAGTGGTGTGCTGCGGTGTCTGGTGGTGCTGGTTTGTGCCCCTCAGCACTGGGGACTGCGGGGGCCAGCAGCCCATGAGACTGCTGCAGATGGTGCCTGGGAGGGGGAGAAATGTGCTGGTGACCCTCGTTACTTAGAGGAACAAAAATAGTTTCTTTGTGTGTCTTGTTAGCAGACCCACAGGTTTTCGTCCTGGCTGAATAGAACAAATGTTTTTATCCTACTGCAGCGTTTGCAGTCTTCCTGGTTAAAAATCTGAGATTAGTTGTTATTGAGGTACTTTGTAGCAATGCTGTTGTTGCCAAACATCAACCAAGGATTGTCTTGGAGGAAGGAAGTCTTTGGTAGTCAGAACTCCTCGTTTTCTTCCCAATCCCAGCTGTTGTGTTAAGGTCTGAAAACTCACTGTACGTAATCCCCCTAGATACAGAGTGTGTTGTCTTGCAAGCCCAAAAGGAAGGGAATTGCTTTTCCTGATGTTGCTCAGGGAGAGGACGAGCAGCAAGAGGCTTGTTCACACTTCCTGCATCCACCACAAATAGGCAGAAGGGCACAGTTCTGTGCAGGTAGTGCATACCTTAACTGAGCCAGTTAATGACTCTGACTCACGAATTGTGCTTACCTGCTCTCCCAAGAGGAGTTCACTGCTTTTAGTCACCGGCGGATAATAATTGTTCAAATTAATGCCTTCCTAAAAATACCCAAAGCAGCACTAAAAGGTTGGCCTAAAAATAGGTCTGAAAAGTGATGTAGGGAAAGCCGGGAATGTGTGGAAGGTTGGTTCCTCCAGTCCCACTGCTCCGAGGAGGGCTGGAGCAGCTGAGCTGCAGCTCTGGGCGATCCCCTCCTGCTCCTTTGTGCTCAGCAGTTCTTGGGGATTAATTGGGCTGATATCGAGAATTCAGAGTTGGCCAAGGGATCTTGACAGCTAACGGTCTTGCTTTAAATAGAGTGCCAGGAGTGTGTGTGCTCATCTGCCAGAGAGTCAGAGAGAGGGAAGAGGTTTACAATAACCGAAAATTGTTATAATTATGACATAATTTGGACATCTGGAAAGTTTCGGCGTAAGCAGAATTTCAGCATGTGGAAGCTCGTTACTGGAAACTTGGGTAATGAATTACGGGCCCGTTTGTCACATAAAGCCAGCTAACTGAATTCCATACGCCATTACACAATTAAACTTTTATGATCTCGCAGCCCATGACAGTGAGCAGTGCTTAGGGCTGCATGCTGCCGGTGCATGCGTTTCCAAGGGCTTACTTTCCAGTAACTGTACAACCTGTCCTGATCACTCAAGCCTTAAATTGCTTAAAGGATTCTCCTATTTCTGGGCAAATACCGTGAAGTAAAAGGGCTTTGTCCAATTGTGCGAATCAAGACAGAGAGAGAACTTTTTCAGCCAAAGACGTTGGCTGGTGTTACTTATAAAGCACAGGGCAAAAGCTCATGCGGGAGAAAGCATGAATCCAGTATGGAGCAGAAGCCAAACGCAGTGGCAGCGTTTTCTGAGCACCATGTTCATGTCAGGATGGAGAAAACTTCAAGCATGAGGATGTGCACCCCGTGTGCACAGCAAGTGTGGCTGGGCAGGCTTCTGCACCAGGGGAGCAGGACAGCATCTCTGGCAGCACGGCACACGTGGCTTTCTCTTTCCAACAAACGTGGGGGTCAGTAGCAGTGCAGTCAGTCCCAGAGTGGGGCACGTGGCTGCTGGGAGCCAGCTCAGATTGCTCTGCTCATCCCACGTAGTCCCTGCAGCAGAACTGGGAAAACATCATCTGAAATGGCTGTTTGTTAAGAAAACGTGTGACCTAAAATGGAGCCTGACCTCCTTCGGTCCGCTTTTATGCCATCCAGCTCTGTAGGTGAATGACTCTGGGTTTCAAACAAAGACAGTGGTTGTGGCCAGGGCAGGCACTGGGGCCGGGGAAAGGGTTGATACGGGAGGCCTGGGGGCCATTGGGGACCCATTGTCAGCCTGCTCCTGCGTGGGAGTATCCAGCTGCATAAACAGCCTGTGCTGGGAACAGGATAAGGTGGGAGCAGGGAGCTGGGAGGAGAGCGGGCAGGCAGCTGCTTATCGCGGCGATAAGGGCTGCTGGCCTGGGGGAGGTCTGGTGCCTTGGGAAGCCTGGCTGAGGCCAATGCAGTTGCAAGGCTGGACTAAGTGCAGCTTGGCTCTGCTTCGCCCTTGTCTCCATGGGATCTGCTCCAAGAGTTTGAACAGGAGCAGTGCAATTTGCACAGCCCTCCCTCCAAGCACCAGCTGCACCGGTGACCTTGGCGCACCCCCAGTGTCCCACAGCTCACGGGCAGTGCCCCATCTCTCCAGGGTGCTACACACTACATAACTTGTGATGATGAGCTGCTTGATTTCCCATCCCCCTTCCCGGTTGTTGGAGGTTTTGGCTTGGCTTTTTCCTGTGTGGTTTGAATATCCTAATGGATGCTCTGGGCAGAAAAAAAAAAAGGTGGAAAAAAGAAAATACAGAAGCCTGTGATTGGTATAGGTGGAGGTGCTGCTGTGGGTCAGCAGGGTGTAAGGGTCTGGCTGTCGTACCCAATGGCTGGTGCACAGCATGTTTGTTTATTACTGTGCAGCAGTTCAAACACCCTGGCCTTGAACTTACCATCCCTGTGCATTCTCTTGTCATTTCAGTGTCTTCCCAAGGGAGCTCAAAGAAGTTTTTGCCTCGTGGAGACAGGAGTGCAGCAACCGTGGCCGCCCAGACATCAGCGAGCGACTGATCAGTGCCTCCCTGTTCCTCCGCTTCCTCTGCCCAGCTATCATGTCCCCTTCCCTCTTCAGTCTCCTGCAGGAGTACCCGGACGACCGCACTGCACGCACTTTGACCCTCATTGCCAAGGTCACCCAGAACCTGGCCAACTTTGCCAAGTAAGAAGGAGTTCTGAGGAGGGGGAGGAAGCCCCAGGCTGCAAGCAAAGCTTCTGCAGCAGGCATCCCACGCTGGCTGCTCCTTTCCTGTTTGGTTTCTGTTGTTTTTTTCCTCCCTGTCTCTCTGGGATTCTCACTTTTATGTCAGGGAGATCATTTAAGTTTCCAAAACAGCCATGTGTTTTAAGAGTAGGAAAGCAGACTACTCTGACCACAGAGCAGAACACCCAGGCATAGCCAGGAAATCTGTCCCGTGATGGCTGTGTTGGGGGAAGCTGATGGCATCTGCTTTGCCAGGCACCAGCACGACCAGCACCCAAACGGTGTGTGCAGCTCAGTGCCTCCAAGGAGCTCTTACAGTGCAATTGTTTGAACTGGGATGGCAAGAGAAGCTAATGGGGACACACTACCAGTTTCTAAATAAGCCCATAGGTTTGATGGAAACAAAGCAAGAGATTTCTGAACATCTTTCCTCTGGCTGCAGCTCTGAGCTACTTATCCTGAGCTCTGATAACGAAATGATGAGCTTTCTGAAACATGAATGGACAGTCTCTGTCTAAAGCTTCTTAGATTTAGAAGCTAGCTTAGCATACACACTCGCAGCCAGGAATGCACATGCGTGCACACACAGGAGGAAGACATGCGAGTGTGTTACACCAGATGACAGAAATTCTCCATATTCCTGACCAATCCCTAACCTGAAGGGTTTTCAGATTTTCAGCATTTTACAGGAAAGACTCTTTCACTAAGCTGACATTAGTCAAACCAAAGTGATCAAGCTGTCCTGCAAACTGCACGTGACCAAGCCTCTCCTCGCAGAATTGCTGGGGAAGAACATGGGACTCCTGCAGCCATCACTTGCTGTGCTCCAGTCAGTTGATTGGGCTTGGTGTTGTAATTTCTCCTTTTTTCTATGGCTTTCACCTTCATTTCTGTTGCTGAGATCTCGCACTGATGAGGGGTTAGCTGGGTTAGACTGGAATTTGGGTTCCTTGTTTGGTACCAGCTGCTTGTTAGCAGCCTGGTAATCCCAAAAGCTTTGCACGCGTTCAGATGCCAGAGGAAGACACTGCACATATAGCTGCTCATTCTGCTCACTGCACCTCTGTTTACGGGATTTAGCTGAGACTTGTTTTGCTGTCTCGACAGGTTTGGCAGCAAAGAGGAATATATGTCTTTTATGAATCAGTTTCTGGAGCATGAGTGGACCAACATGCAGAGATTCCTACTGGAGATTTCCAATCCAGAAACCATCTCAAACACAGCTGGCTTTGAAGGCTATATTGACCTGGGCCGGGAATTGTCTACTTTGCACTCGCTGCTCTGGGAAGTCATTTCTCAGCTGGAGCAGGTAAGGAGGCTGCAGGGACAGACTTCAGCCAGTGCTGGGCACACGGGCTGCCCTGCAGCATACACCTCCCCTTTGTCCAGCCAGTACCACCCCATCATGGTGTGGGAGCACAGCACAGCTCCTACTGGCTCTTGTTCCACCTGTGCACATGCTGCTGGAGATCGTCCTTTGTGGCTTTCTTTAAGGCTGGCGAGTACTGCTGTCTGCCTTTGCTTTTCATCACTGAGGGGTGAGGATGTTGAGATGTGAAGGCAGAGCTGCTGAACACCAGGCTGCCTTGTTTGTCCCAGCACATTCCTTTTATATTAAAAGGAATTCTGTCCAGTGACCTGAACCAGGCTTGGCCACAGGTGTCATCTTTGTATGAACCATCTGAAGTGTGCTAGCTTCCTTCTGCCCCACAGCTGCAAATAACTTCTGAAGCTGTGTGTTCTGGGATAGGCTGTAGCCATGGCACTGGAGTTAAACGTTGGAGAAAATGAATGTTGCTAACTTGGTTCCCTGAAAGAGGCTGCCCAGCAATTGGCAGAACCCAAAGTTTTCTTGCACAACCCACGATGTTGGTAGTAACTCTGCTCTTGTCTCTCCAGAGCACTGCAACAAAACTTGGCCCTCTGCCGCGGATCCTGAGGGACGTCAACTCGGCGCTCAGTAACCCGGCCTGCGTGCAGGTCTCAGTCACAGCTGATCACACTGCATCCACACCCAGTGCTGGGAACAGCATCTCTGCAGGGCTGCAGAAAATGGTGATAGAGAATGACTTATCTGGGTAAGAGCAAAAGGGGCGGCCTGGCCGCAGACCAGGGAAATGCTGAATGTTTATCTGTTACCAGAACCTGAGTGCCTGTGGGCTCAGGCAGGACAAGGTGTAGCGTGGATTTTCCTGGTTCATTGGCAAAGCTTTCCAATTGCAAAACTGATACTGGGTGTAGTTCAGCTCTGCATCTAGGCGTAGCAGTTGGCAATAGTGCAAGTCAGCAGGTCCATCCTAGGTCCATCCTGAGCCAGAACTGAGGATGTGGTGTGGGAAATCAAACACTTGGTTCTGGGCTCCACTCTTGACACTCAGCTGCAGAAGCAACACATCCGTCCTTTGACAGCACTGAGGCTACTAACCTCAAAACAATGAACGTTCATAAGATGTCTGCATATGCAGGATTTATTGGTTTTATCCATCTTTGTAAGACATTGGATATGTGCTGAATTCAGTGTGGTCCAAATCTGGGCATTCCACTACCAGCGGGCAAGCTGCAGAGGCCTAACAATCAGTTCCAGTCTGCTCCATCCTGCTTGTATAATAAATGGGTGTTTTTAACGAGCAGTGATTCACAGACACAGTCACCAAACACACTTTTAGGCCTAATTATGTAAGAAAAATCAATCATGGGAAAGATGACTGTGTTGCAGACGAAAAATGTTTCTGTTTGTGGAAAATGAAATAGAGCCCACATAAATTGAAAGACACTGCTAATAAAATAGTTTGTAAGTGGAACCTGCATAACTCTTAACAGTTTAATTAGGAATGAAAGACAGCAATGGAGCTGGACTTTCATCTCTAATGCTTCCCAGCTTGAGGTACAATTATTTAATGCTATGGAGGATCTCTACTAGTATGCCATCACCCAAATACTTGCTTACACTGCATCACCTTTGATCAGTGGTATATTCACATTGAGCTACTGCAAAGCTCTTTCTTCCTGTCTGCAAGAAATCAATATTGCCTGAATTTATCTGCTACAGCAGGAGCAATGGGTGGATAACTTTCAGTTGCTAGGATTTAGCTCTGCAGTTACCGCCCTGTGTCTGACCCTCGGATGCGCAGTGTGGATCTGGTCTGCGGGGTGCCGTGCCAATATGAGGCAGCTTAGTGCCTGGGCAGGCAGGAGTGCTGAGGGCACGGCCAGCTGGAAGCTGGTGTGCTGTCTGCACGCTGAGCAGAGCGTGGATGGTGAAGCAGAGGCTGCAAGCAGTGTGCTGTGAGCCTATCAACTCCTGTGTGGCACGGAGCTCCATGCCCAGGGCCCCTCTGCTCCCACATCCCCACTCCTGTGCACTGTCCCCGCAGGGTGGGCTGTGCCTGCTTCCCGTGCAGCTGTGCCACACCAAATGCTTCTGAGTGATAATGTTTTCCTGCTCCTGTGTGGCATTCACAACTCTTCTTTGTTTTGTTTTGTTTTCCTCTCCTCTTCCTCGCGCACTGACTTCCCCGCAGTCTGATAGATTTCACACGGTTACCATCTCCAACCCCCGAAAACAAGGACTTGTTTTTTGTCACAAGGTCTGCTGGGGCCCAGCCCTCGCCTGCCCGAAGCTCCAGTTACTCAGAGGCCAATGAGCCCGACGTGCAGATGTCAAATGGCAGCAAGAGTTTGTCCATGGTGGACTTGCAGGACAATCGGCTCTTGGACAGCGGGGCCAACGCGCCCGGCGCTGCCGACTCCCTCAACGACAGTCAGTCGTCCCTGGGGCAGTTGCAGGGCGTGTGGAGCGCTCGGACTCAGCAGAGCAGCATGGCGGGTATGGCCACGGTGCGCCGCGTGGGCCAGACGCCCACCACGCCGAGCGGTGAGAGCGCGCCCGGCCGGCCCCAGCTGCTGGCCCCGCTCTCCTTCCAGAACCCCGTGTACCAGATGGCCGCCGGGCTGCCGCTCTCGCCCCGCGGCCTGGGCGACTCCGGCTCCGAGTGCCACAGCTCGCTCAGCTCCCACAGCAACAGCGAGGAGCTGACGGCCAACAAACACGGCTTCGCCGGCCCCGCCGCCAGCGAGGACTTCAGCCGCCGGACGGGAGAACTGGCCCGGCGGCAGCTCTCACTTTCAGAGAAGGGCGGGCAGCCCACCATGCCAAGGCAGAACAGCGCGGGACCGCAGCGGCGGATAGACCAGCCGCCGCCACCGCCGCCTCCGCCCGTCACCCGGGGCAGGACGCCGCCCTCGCTGCTGAACACGGTGCAGTACCAGCGGCCTTCCAGCGGCAGCATGATGTCCTCCTCGCCCGACTGGCCCGGCAGCGGGGCCCGTCTCCGGCAGCAGTCCTCCTCCTCCAAGGGCGACAGCCCCGAGATGAAGCAGCGCACCATGCACAAACAGGTGAGTGGGGGGCTGAAGCGGCTGGGGGCTGGGAGGGGGCCAGGCCACGGGCTTGGAGGAGAAATCGGGTGGGGGGATGCTGCAGTGGGAGCGGGCTTTGTGGAGCTTTGTGGCAGCGTGGTGATTGTAGCGCGGTTCTGCACCCAGCCTGGCCTGAGCCAGAGGCCCTCTGAGGAATGGGCCACAAAGGAATGCTGTCCTCCGTTCCTTTGTCATGCAGCACGTTGGAGGTGGTGCTGGAAGCGGGGCGGTAGGTGGCAGAGCCGCCTCTGTCCTGCGCTGCCGCCTTGTCACTGCTTTGCCTCTCCATGCGCAGGCTCTCATCCCATGCCATAGCCAACCCAGCACCATCTCACAGACTCGGACCAGGCCCTCATCTCTTCTTGTATCTACAAAGCTCTGTACTGCTGCTCCTGTTCCCCTGGAGCCATGGTGTCCATGGACATTCCAGTTTGCTCCATTAGACCCTCCTGTGAGGGTCCTCCTGTGCACGTGGGGAGAGCAGGAAGGAAGAGGTGTTTTCCTATCAAGAGCAAAGTCCCTTCTGTGCAGAGCCTGGCAGCACTCAGGTCCTGGAGCACATCTGCTTTGCACAGAGATCTGGCTGTGCGAGGTGCTAAGATGGACGCAGTAGGTCGCAGGGCCCTCTGGCTTTCTTGGCATGGGTAAATTGCTTTTCATCTTACATTTCAGATATAACCGTGTTAAAAAAAATTAACACAGGAGGGCCTCTCAGTGCCTAAAGGGGGAGTTGTAACAGTAATAAGTAATACAAGCCCAGAGAAGGTGAACAGTTGGCCAGAGCTGCCTGCTCCTCAGCACAGGTTCCATTTCAGCAGCAGAGGTGGAGGCCGTTGGCAGTGCTGCTCATTGCAGGTGGTTTCAGCCCGATCCAGAGCTGTTCTATGCACACTGTATTGACTCATAAGCACTGACATTAGCAGGCATGCCATGTAGCAGCATTTGTGTAATATGGATCGATACTCGTTAGGTGCAGAGAGCACAGCTCTTCCACAGCCACCCGCTGGGGCGATTCCTCCCAGAACAGTGCTGGGGACACCGGGTGACCTTGGCCGGCTGGTTGGTGCTTCAGAGCTTTCCTCCGCTCTCACTGCCCTCTCAAGAGCTGAAGTCCCCAAAATGCCCCTCCCTGCCTTAATCACGTAGTTCACCTGTCTGTTGGCTGTGAATCATAAATCTGCTGCTCAAGAACCGAGAGCTCCCACATGGTGGCCATTTGAGGAGGATTGCTTTCAGCAGTACCTCCTCCACCTCCTGAGTTCACCTGGGCTGCCATCAAACCCATGCCAGACAGGAGCAGGCTGTGCTTTCCCATATCTTCAGAGAAAGGAGGAGGAGGCAGAAGGGCTGATGGGCAGTGGCTCTGTAAGTGGAGAGCATTGGACCCAGGGCCTTTACATCACTGAGGAGGGCAGCTCTCCTGCGCTCAGCCCTCAGTGCTCCATGAGCAGTGCCTGAGCTTCTGACTGAAAGTTGTGGAAATGAAGACAAAGCTGAAGGATGGCACAGGAAAGCTTCCAGCACCGGTGCTTTGAATGGAGGAGAAATTTCCCAATCTCTTTGCCTTGTTAATTTGAACAGGTCATCCAGATCCCTTGTGTTCATCCAAGTGGATAATTACTGCTGTTTATAACGAGCCAGGATGGAGGGGAAATAGCTGCAGCTTCACTTCCTCAAGTTGTTAATGCAGCTGGAAGGTGCTGAGCTCGCAATCCTGCCCTCAGCCCCAGTGCCTGCCAAGAGCAGTGCTGCACCCTGGGCCCACTGGCCCTGTGAGCTCCAGGGAGAGCTCGGGAAGTTGGACCTCTTCAGTACAGAGCCTCACCCAAGAAGAAACCATTGCTTTTCAAGGTGTATTTTTGAAGATGTGGTTTTATCTGTGCGAAGGCTCTGTGGCAAGCAAGAACACAGCGCAGTGAAGCAGAGACTGAAGAGCTGAGTGAAGACTCTGCTTGCAGAGCTGACAGCTGCTGCAGTAACCTGGGCCTGTTCGCTTCAGCAGGGTTCCACTGCCATGCACCTTTGTTTGCCTGTTCCATAGGGATGGCAGAGGGAAGAATTCAACCTGTCAAATGTTTCTGATGCAAAATAATGGGAGGTGCACACCAGGAGGTATTCCTGCCCCTCTGGTAGCTCAATCTGTTCGTTGCTGTTGGAGCAGCGTGGGAGAGGGCTTGGAAGGAACTGCTCTCTCTGGCTTCATGACCTTTCTGTTACAGGTTTTTCTTTTGTTATGGTTGTATGTTTCATTGTAGGCCCCTTCTCCTGTGAACCCCAGTGCCCTGGACCGCACTGCTGCTTGGCTTTTGAATATGAACATGCAGTTTTTAGAAGATGAAAGCATTGACCCAGATTCCAAGCACAGGGATAAGCTCAGGAATAAGGACGAGCTCAGCCAAGCAGAAAAGGTAAAACCTGATTGGATTGAATCAAGTTTCTAAATAGAGAGAGGATTTCCTTGAATGTGGTTGAGCTGCAGCCGGGGGCAGGCCGGCCCCACGCTGCCCCACAGAAGCTGTCGGGCTGTTCAGCCCTGCTGCTCACAGGGCACTGCTGGGGATTGCCTGGGAGGGCTTCACACACTGACTGGAATTGCCCTGATGGAGGCAAGTGAGAAAAGTGGGAGCAAGGAGTCAGGGCTGCTCTGCAGCATCACCTGGAGCCAGCCGGTGCCTGTTGCTTCCCCCTGACTGCAGGGGAAGAAGGGCTTAGAAAATAAATTAAATGTACCCATAGACCAGTAGTAGGATACTGGCACCCTCCTGCCTTACTGCAGGGATATGTAACAAGGAGCAGCTCCCGTGGTAAGAGACTGCAAGGAGACCTAAAAATTAAGTCCAGATTCTGGTCTTGGATGCACTGGGGCCTGGTGTGACATTGCTGATGCAGTGACACTGCTCCAGGCTCTATGGGGTCTGCCAGCAAGTCAGAGCCAGAGGGTTCAACTGGAGCCACCAGTGCCGGAGGGGCCCTGAGTGCTGCAGAATTGGCACTTCTCAGCAGCCTGGCACTGTAGGGTGTCTGCACTTGGGTATTTGGGATGTTTCCTAAACATGCTTTGCTGCATCCCAGCGACCAAGTCGGGTCATGCAGGCTGCAGGCTTCTCCCTTCCTGAACTCTTTCCTCTTTTGCAGCACAGCCATTTCTGGTTTTGTAGCCTTCCCCTGCTCAGTCATATCATTCTGGGGCTCTCACCTTTAAGAGGCAGAGCAGGGAGCGGGAGGTGGGGGCTCCAGTAGTATGGCAGATGGGAGAGCTCAACCTGTTTTTTATGGGTTCTTTCCTCCTTGGGTATTCCCGAAAGCACAGACATGCACTGATCAGACACTCAGCTCTGCGGTTAGCTGACACTATTTGCACATGTATAGAAATTGTGAATGTGACCTAAGTAGAGACGCTAGTAGGCAGCAAATGAAAGCAGTACTTCCAGATCAGTGCATTGTGCACCTGTGTTATTGCTGCGTTTTGGTACTGAAGGGTTTCAGAGAGCTTTGGTGCTCCTGCAGCTCTGCAGCGGGGAGTGGGTGTCCCTCAGCCTGGCCTGGCTGCCTTCTGGCCCTGCCTGGGCTCCCATGGGCAGCAGAGCTCACCAGCACCTGCTCCAGGGGGCTACGGTCAGGTTAGGAACTCATTTCTGCAGCAAACCGGTCCCTGTCCTAAGGCCACAGGTGTCCCCCCTGCCCTGGTGTCTCACTGCCACGCAGCATCTTTTGTTACTTTACTGTAAAGTTACTGACATCAAAGATCATCGTTAGCATAATCTCTCTTCCCATTACTGTAAGACTTGAATGGTAACCAAGAGTGAGACAAGTGTTGTAGAGCCAGGAGCGACTCCTTCGGGCTCCAAGGCCTCTTCTGCTATCACTTACACTCATGCTGCTCCTATTTTAAGACTAGGGTAGGTATTTAATCTTTCCTGTGTGAATGACTCCCTTCTGTCTGACTTCAGTGCTTCTGTGCATCTGTATGGGCATCTTTGTTTCTCATCACTCCAGTTCCACGTGCAAACTGTGTCCTTTCAGTGCCTCAGTAAAAGCTTTGCTAAAGGAAAAAAACAGTGATCTGTTGTGGCCATCTGTGCCCCGGTGGGAGGAGCTCACAGCCCCTTCCCACTCAGCCTTTAGCGTCAGGAGGCCCCTCTGCATCACACGACTTCAGCCTGGAGGAGCTGAGCTCCATCTGCAGTCAGTCAGTTGGGCAGAGGAGAGGTTTTTCTTAGAGCAGTGCTTATGTGAGCTGGGGCATAGGGCACAGTGGCTGTGCTTCCTCTCCAAAGGAGCTGATCAGGCAGGGCAGCTCCCCAGCAGGTCTCACAGCATCAGGATACAAGGACATTCGTAACGTGAATGCTTCACGTGGCTGGAGATGGCCGAAGGGCAGGGCTCTGTTCTAAGCTGCAGTCAGATCAGGATTCAGCATGTTCCTCTTTGCACTTATGCAACTCCTGTGGCCTTGTAACTGCTCTCATGGCCCAGGTGATTTTTTTTTCCAGCCTGACTCACAGCTCCTCACAACATCAGGTGTGTGTTAATTATTCTAAGGTCATTACAGTTAAGATTTTTTAATAGACGGATTTCAAAGATAACTTTGAAATTAAAGTCTTAAGACAGATTTGCACTGAATTTTCCTTTAGCAAAGTAAGTTGTGCTGAATGCTCTCAAACAGCTGAACCCAGCTTTGCTGGGTCAGGAAGCTGTTCTCATAATTGCTTTATGTGATTCTTCTGTTGTTGCTATTTAGCTTCAGCTGTGGGATCGGCACAGCCTGTGGGGTCCTGGCTTCATGCAGCAGTTCTTCTGGGACTGAGCCCTGGCTTGCCATCTGCTTGCAGGGTTTGAGATGTGGGGCTGCAGCACTGTCCTGCCCGGCTCAGCCCCATCTGGGAGGCAGCTGCACCTGCTCCAACTGGGCCTTGTGCTTTCAGCATCTCCAAAGCACTCCTGTTTACTGATACAGGCTGAAGAGCTCGCGCGTTAACCCAAAATCCCACTTCAGCTTTTCCTGCCTGTGTTTAGCGCTGCGCACAGTGTGAGGAAGGTGCATTTGCCATTCAGTCACTCTAACCTGCTTTCCCCATGTGAACTGCTGAACTCTGCTAACAGCCCATTCTCTGAACGTGCCAGCACCGTGCCAGCCCTGCAGGACGCAGCGCCGCTCCCAGCACAGCATGGAGAAGACCGAAGAGGAGGTGGCGGCAAGCAGGGTTATCTGATAAGGGTTTGCAGCTAGGAGAGGGGCAGTCGGGTTGTGGGGAAACCCTGGCAAGGGCAGAGCCATGTGTGATGATGTGCTTCAGGTGTTCTCTCCTCCTGTCTGTCCCCGCGTGCTGTAGTACCAGCAGGACCTGGTGGTGCTGCAGGACAAGTTGCGCATCTCCAACAAGAAGCTGGAGGAGTACGAGACACGCTTCAAATGCCAGGAGGAGACGACGCAGAAACTGATGCTGGAGTACCAGGCCAGGCTGGAGGAGAGTGAGGAGCGGCTGCGGAGACAGCAGGAGGATAAGGAGATCCAGATGAAGGGCATCATCAGCAGGTACAGGGCAGCTGGGGGAGGCAGCAGGGCTGGCATTAGTGCTGACCATGCTGATCAGTCCTGCCAGTTTCACCTTACCTGAGCCGAGCCACGTCTCTGCTTTTAATCAGCACTCACAAAGGAATCTTCCTTCCCTGGCCTTAATCACTTAAGCTCTTGGGCAGTGTGCTCTGTGGTTGTCTAGACAAAATTAATAGCCAGAAAAATGATGCACTGAACCATTTGTTTGTGTGTTATCAGCAGGTGGTGGCAATGCCCGTGTCCCTTTTCTGTTTGAACACAGAGCTGCTTGTTGTGTGAGCATCTCAGTGTGCCTTAGTGTTGCATTCTCAGCTGAGGGCTCAGACCTCATCCAGATGCTGAGGGCTGCAGGCCGGGGTCTCTACCATTTCACACCTCCTCCCACATATTGCAAAGGTGCATATCAGCCTTTGCTGTCCAACTAAAGCTGTCCCTGCCCTTTCACTGAGGGCCTTTAGGATACTTTCTGTTCTTCCTATAAAGCGTGCTTTTCACAACACCAACCCATACTACAGGGAGACAGGAGCTGCAGGCCTGCAGGGTCCCCTTTCCTCCAGCTGCCCCCAGCTCTCAGATCGCTTCCCCAAAGCAGTACAAAACACTACAAAGATGATGCACTCTGCATCTTGAAAACAGGTTTTTATTTTCTTGTCTCTGGCTACCAGGTTGATGTCAGTTGAGGAGGAGCTGAAAAAAGACCATGCAGAAATGCAGGCTGCCGTGGACTCCAAGCAGAAGATCATTGATGCACAGGTGAGTCCCTGACACTGAGGGCTGCAGAACTCTGGGTGACTCTGCCAACGTGCAGCCTCCCTGCTGTGCAGCAGCACCAGATCCAGTGCGGTCAGACCACGTGCATGGGGTGCGTCAGCACAAAGCTGCAGGCAGTGACAGGGTGGGTCAGCCCTCAGCAGGACACTGTTCTATTACCAGAGCATTTGCATTCTGCAGCTTTTTCCAGCCTTGGTGTTTGGCACGTAATGCGGGGATGTGGGGGTGACAGCAGGCCGAGCAGCAAGGAGGTGGTTGGAGCAAAGTCTAGAGAAGGGCAGAGCCAACAGAAGGGCAGGGGAATGATAGACAAGAGGAGAGCAAATGCACAGAGCGGGGAAGGAAAGCGTGTCTGCAGGGCAGAGGGAGCAGAGGGGAGGAGGCAGGGCCTGTAGCTTGGAGGAGAATGGAATGGCAGTGCCAGGGGACTGACCTTGTGCAAATGGTCAGCATATGGAGTCAGCACCCTGCTCCCTGCAGGGATGCCCAGGGCCATGGTCAGTCTGTGCAGGACTGTGCCAGGGCTGGAAGTGCACTTAGTGGTACAGATCAGATGATGGTGCAAAATACTGTGCTTGGAACAAAGGATCTGAAAATACAGCCCATCATCTTTTCATTTGTTTAGGCAGCTCCAGGTTGTGGCTGGGTGCTAGTGAATTGTAGGCTTTCTCTTAATGACCGTATTAATCTCTTGTGAGTCACCACTCATGACTAATTTACTGTGTAACTAATTAAAAAGGAGATGAGATGGTGGTAACTTTGCAAAAAGAATCACTGTTTTCCTGTACAGTAATTTGTTCCAAGCCAGTAAATCAGCACACATTTCCTGCTGCACTAGGGCAAAGCCTGGCAGGTAAGGGGAGTGTGGGGCACACAGCTGGGGGCTGCAGCCAGCAGCACCTCCTCCAGGCCCTGCAGTGTTATGGGGCTCTCACCCAAGCCTGTGTGGTGCAGTTTTCTGCTTCTCGTCATCTCACACTGTGTGTGATCCTTGGAGTTACACAGGCAAACTGCTGTGCCCGTCTGTGTTTTTCATTCTGCCTGCTCTCAGCAGACAGCAGGAATGTGCAGGCATGGCAGGATCAGGCTGCAGCACAGCAGCACTTGCTCTTGTCCCCATGACACTGCACTGGACCCCTCAGTGTAATCAGTGAGGATAAGCTATGCCATCAGAGCCATCCTGGGAGGCCACAAGTCATTTAAGGCATTTATTTACACTAACAAAATCAATTAAACACTGACAGGAATAACCACCTTGGGAGAGAACTATGCTTTAGAACAGGAATCTTATCGTCTTCATAACAGCTGCAGTTAGAGCAAACAACACAATTTCTGTATCATTGAAAAATTAGAAAAAGTATTTTATCTCCATTTTGTTCAGGACCAATTAACCCTAACGATAAAATTAATTCAGCGCAGATTGTGCTTGTTTAAAAGCCTGGTGTGCCAAAGCCTCCACGAGGCTGGGAGCAGGACGGAAGGTCTAACAGGGATCTCCTGTAGCCAGAGCTACTCTCTGAATGGGGTCATGGCTGTAGAACTGCTGCCCAGAATCCCTGCAGCCATGCAGAACTCTGGTGCTCCCCTGCAGGTGCTTCTGGAGCTACCTGCAGAAAGGATATTTATTCCTCATAGAAGTAATCCTCAAATTATGTCCTAACCCAGAATTTCAGAGGCTTTCCCTGAAGGAAACACAGGCTTTGTACAAACCTGGCACAGCACAGCTCAGCACAGTTCTAATCCAGGCTACAGCCACAGCCATGCCGTCTGACATGGAGCTGCCATGCCCCAGCATCAACCCAGGCACGCACACAGGCTGGGATGTGGCTGCTGCCAGGCCAGCCTGGAGCACACAGCTTGCAGAGATGTCTGCTCACCTGGCAGCAGCAGGGGAAAACACAGGCAAAGCACTTGTAGACCTGCTATCAGCAGTGGGCTGCTGAGGGGTACTGGTCCCAAAGGCCCACGGGTTGCCAGCTCACAACCACTCATGGTGTGGCAGACAGTTCTCCGTGTGTTTCCACTGACGGTTCCCTCCGTCCGCTTCTTTGCAGGAGAAACGCATTGCTTCATTGGATGCTGCCAACGCACGGTTAATGAGTGCCCTTACTCAGCTGAAAGAGAGGTACAGCATGCAGACGCGTAATGGGATCTCCCCCACAAACCCAACTAAATTGCAGATTACAGAGAATGGAGAATTCAGAAACAGCAGTAATTGTTAACCCGCGGAGGGCGCTGCCGCAGGAGGAGGCCTGGCCAGAGAGACCCGTGCAGCAGCAGGTGTGAGCCGCGGCTTCAGAGAACGGCTGCTCTCTCCCCAGAGAACCCAGCTCCTTACTGCGGACGGCGCGCTTGACTGAGCCTTTGTGGGAGATGCTAATGCCAGCACATTGAGGGGACGGAAAGATCAAGTGTGAGATGAGTGGCATAAGGAAATAAGATATATTTGAGCATTGCTGTCACTGTTGGATTTAAATCAGTGTTTAATGTTTAAACAGAAGTAACCTTTTCCTTCCAAGCTGCCCAGAGGATACGCCTCTCCCCTCCCAACAAGGAGTAACGTCCTTGCCACTGCAGTAAGCAAAATGCAGGGAGCTGGGCAGAGCCTGCAGTGGGCAGCATGCTCAGTACAGGCAGCGCATGCTGGAGGGTGGCAGGAGCCTGGCCTGCTCCTCATGTGACTCCCCCTGGAGCACAGCCCCATCCCCAGAGCAATCCCTGAGCCTTTGGCCTTCCTTATGTAGCTTTTGCGCTGCCCCTGACTTTTGCAGTGGGTAGCTGTCCAGAGGGCATCTGCACAGCAAATTAGAGTTTAATTAACTCTGTCCACACAGGGGCAGATCCCAGCAGGATGGTCAGGGCTCGCTCAGTACAATGTGGGGGCCACGTAGAGGCTGGCTGTGGGGCCCTGGGCGGTCCCTATGAGCAGGATAGGCCCCAGGCTCCTGTGTCAGTGGAGGGAGGATCCGGGCCCTGCAGAAGGATTTCTTGGTTCCACTCCCAGCTTCTGCTCTCACAAACACTGGGGACAAGTCTTTGTAAAGCAATAGTTCCAGGGCACTGCGTTCCCTACCACACACATAACACAGAACAAATTAAAGGTAACCTGAGCTTGCTGTCCCCAAGCTGTGAGTGAGCTGCAGGGTCTGGATTTGCTGCTGGTGCCCACTGTGGAGAGGGGGAGTGCCAGGCTGCAACGTGGCCAGCTTCATGCTTGACAAAGAGTTCATTATGGGGATGTCATGCTCTGTGCAGAGATTTTTTACTGTTTCTGGGGAGGAAAAAAAGGCAAAGAAACAAGAACGGCCATGAAGAACCATGAAGATCGGTAATTGTATTTCTTTTCTTTCACAGTATGCATTAGAAAAAAAAAGAGCCCATTTTCTGGAATACTGTCCTCTTTAAATTGGGAATGAGCACTGCATGGAAATTAACCGGCCTGAAGAATGTAAAACATGGTCATAAGGGAGTAACCAGCAGGAACAGCAGCCACCACCGAGAGCCCCCTTGTCAGGAGCACTGTGCAGGCATAAGCCAGGATTAGACTTTCCTAACTGCCGAGCCACGCGGCCCCGGCACACACAGACGTGTTGCTCAGCGGAGGGGTCTCCTCCTTAACGGGGGATTGTGCCGCTGACCCGCCGCCACGGTGTTTGTTGGTTTGTGGTTGTCCAGTTAGTCCTTCACGACTCCCAGTCTCAGAGCAGGTCACTCGGACCGAGAGCCAGAGAGATTTCTCTGAGACACGGATGACAGTGTACAGTGTACAGGACATCTGCCTATTCCTCCCGTAAAGGTTAACACACTGCTGACCGCCTGTCCCAGCTCCTCCTGCCACGTGTAAATGTACAGTCAAAGGTACGAGGACGTTCACTGAGCTCTGCACAGCTTAGGTACCACCTGCAGCCTCGCCGGGCTGCCTGAGCAGGACGTGATGTGCCATAAGCTCTGCACTGCCATGCTGCCCCACAGCTGTAAGGCTCACTAACAGCATCTTTCCTCATGCAATTGCTTTCAAAATTTAAGATGATTTTTTTTTTAATTTTTGTAAACGTTTGTCTGTTGCCTGGAAGCCCTGGGCCAAGCCTGGCGCGGCTGCAGCTGCTGCAGCTCCGGTCCTCGGAGGAGCGAACGCACTGCTGTGCACTGAGGGCTCCGCACCCCACCAACGCCTGCAGAATGGTGCAAGTGCACAGAGACCCCAAAAGGAGCTCCTCAGAGAAAAGTAATCGCTAAGTGTTCATGCCAAGTACAGCATGTGGAGAATAGCACAGATGTCTTTGAAGAACCTGACACAGCTGACAAGGTTACAACTGGAGTAAGACCCAGACAGGTTAGGAATACACAGGGTTATGTGAACAGTTTGGTTCGTACACGTAACTTCTGCCGTTGTTCTTTATACACATGATAAGAACCCTGCTAAAAAAGACACTTAAACTGCTCCTGCCCTCAGATGTATTTTTAGAGTCAGTTGTTTCTGAGCTCCAAAATACTGGTGTTGGGAGAGATGGAAGTTGTTCAACATAAAGGAATGGAAGCACTTCCAGGGCACAGGGCAGACGCCCCACAGGCAGCGCTTCCATTTGTATGTGAACAAAATCTGGGGGTGCAGTCAGTGCCCTCTTATGAGCTGGAAGAAAGACCCACCCCCAGCACAGCTGATTAGTGCTGAAGCAAAGTGCAGTAAATCTGCTTGCCCCCCCAGCCAAGGCACTGCTTTTATACCGCCATTCCCCTTGTTGCTTTATTTCTCCCCAAGATCTGTCAGAAAATCCTGGGTAACCTCGAATGTGCGCATCACTGAGCACATCACTGAGCACATCACTGAGCACATCGCTGAGCACACTGTCCTGCTGCAACAGCAGGCTGCTCAAGTCCTTCTGCAATCAGTCACTAAAACATAAAACCTTCCAAGTTCCAGTGCCAATACCTTCTGGAGTTGCTCAGTTTCCTAAGCCAGTATGAAACAGAATTCCAAGTAGAACGAGATCTTTTTACAGTGGAGCTTCCCCCAGCCCCTTGTTCCTGTGTCTCCTTACTCTGCAAATATCAACAACTGGACCTAAGTACAACCCTCCCATGTCAAGGTTTGGGGAACAGGTTCTAAGATCCAGGCTCAGCTCAGTTCTGTTACTTCTGTTTGTGTTTCTCTTATTTATAAACTGTACATTTTTGTATGTGTGTGTGTGTGAGAGAGAGTGGCAGTGCCAGGTGCCCAGCTGCAGCCCCAGCCCTGATGCCTGGCGTAGCAATAGAGGCAATTAATCACAGGAGGTGCTCACAGCACCGCGGCAAAGCAACCACTATGCGTAATGTTTTGTGACCTGCTCCGTTTTCTTTTTCATTCTTGCGCTTTACTAAAATAAGAGGCTGTTCTAGTGCAAACTTGTCAAAGTGTAAACAAGACTAAAACACTCAGATTTTTATCTTAATACAAGTCTTAATATTTTTTGTAAATGTTTTCAGTGTTTACTGTAACGTATCTATCTCACTAACGGTTGTATATAGTAATTTACTTCTGGTGCTGCTTATTTGGTCAAGATTTGGCTGTATCTCACTGCTGTTCAGCAGAGGTGGACTCCATCTGGCAAATCTGGATCCAGCCCCAGGTTATGATTTCAGCCTCCTCACCATGGGGTACCTGAGGGAAGGAGGAGCAGCCAGGGATCCAGGTTTGAGGTTGGCCCACCTCAAGAATTCTGTTTTAAGAGTTATGATTTGGGGTTTTGTTGATCTGTAGCAAACAATTCTGGAAAAAAGAAAAAATGATGAAAAATTTGTGTAAAGGGGGATTAAATGGACTGAAGGATGCTCTGGGGACTCTGCAGTCCCATCCTTTTGGACAGGGATTATGGCTTAAATGCAGTGCCAACTAACTGGAGGACTCAGGTCCTTCCCCATACCAATTAATACTACAGCACAGTCACCAGCCCCTTTTGCACCAGATTAAGCAAATCCTGCTGCCATCCAAAGAGTCCTGTGTCACTCTGCATTGTCATTTGAGTCTGGTTGGTTTTGTTTTCTGCTTGTAAAGCACTGATTGCACTGTGAGAACATGCTGAGTCCGCCGGCCTGGCAGCCAGCCCGCAGGTCGCAGGACATGGGTTCTGCTGTGAGTATTCCTAAAGGGAGAAGGGACACAAGTGGACCTGAGTGAGATACCATGGTCTCTGCTGGGAGAGCAGCCCCCAAATTGCGTCCAAAGCTGAGAATGCTCATGGGCTTCTCCTGTTACTTAAATCCATTACCAACGTGCAACATAAGACACACTAAGGTCTGATCCAGGACTCGCAGCACCCTGCCCAGCGTGGAAAGTGTGGGCTCGCAGCCACCACCATTCCCCAGCCCCAGAGGACACTGCTCAGCCACAAGGCTCATCTGTGTGGCCCTGTCCTGCTCGGAACCAGCTGAGCCCTGGGCCAGCCCTGCAGGGCTAACTGGCACCTTTTCCCTCGAGGAATATCAGAGGGAGGGGAAGGGGGAGCGAGAGATGACGGAAGCATGGGCTTTCCAAACCAAATCCAGTCTTGAGAGCATCGTACAACATTCAGAAACAATCATGCTTGGAAAAAGCACTGACTTCACAGGTTACCTGAGCTGTGACATTGCTGTAAATTCCACGTGGTTCTGCATCAGCTGCCAGCACCCCAAAGTGCAGTCTCCATGTTCACATATTCCTTTATCATACATCACTGTGTCTTAAGATATACCTCTCTCTGTATATCTGCTTAAGCTGATACTTGTTCCTGATAAGCAGTCGCTATGTTTTATATCCTCTTATAAAGAAAAAAAAATCTTTTTGTAAGTATGTTTAAAAACAAAAAAAATTAATGCAAAGTGGAAGTGTTTGCTGAATCTCCTTCAGCTCCTTTTAAACTATGTAATAATGTACAGAGAAAGTTGTTGGTGTTCAAAGAAATGATGTGGCCGTGCAATTTATGTACATTTGCAATTAGAAATATTAAAGATTTATTTAGATATTTTATGTAAGTGCTCCGGCACCTCTGCTCAATCCTTTCCAGGCTACAGCACCCTTGCCAACTCCGTGCAGCCACGTCCCACCCACATCCTCTGCTCACAGCACATCCCAACCCTCTGGGGTGGGCACAAACCCCATGGGCCGTGCAGAGCTCTGATGGCAGTGTGTCAGTGCTCGGGCACCAGAACAGCCCTGCAATCCCAGCAAAACCTCCGTCCAGCCCCTGACAGCCCTCCTGCCCAGCAGTCACGATG